ACCAGGACACATCTTTTCAAACAGTTGCCTTGCTTGAATGGTAGCCTCTTCAAAATCTAATGAAGAATCTGGGTCACGTGCAATAATGATATTCTCGGGTATTTCTGAAGAAATAGAGGATGGTACCATCCGTTTTTTGTGTCAGTAGAATAAAGCGAACAATGGATTCAATTTAGAATCTGAACTGCATCTATAAATTGTTAAAAATATTACTTACTATTTACAATATATATCATTTTTATAATAAACGAAAAAAAAAAACTCGCCTTCTTCATCATTAATTGAGGTATTAATTAATTTGTCTAATGCGTTAACCAAATCTTCTTTAGCGCTCTGGCCGTTCGCTTTCGTGGACAAGTATAAAACGTCTACCAATCATCAATAAAAAAAAAACGAATAGCTGTAAATAAAATACTATTCTTTGATATTATATGACCACATGTGACATATAAACAACGAAAGACTTCGAATAAGAAGACATCCAATAAAGACTAACATCTGTCTTTAGGACATGAATGTGTTCCGGCCGATCATTGGAGTACCGTTATAGGATCTTTATTGTTCACAATTTCTGGCGGATAAACGGTTAATGATGCGTCACCACTTTCTTCATGTATAGATTTATCTATGATCACTATCGCACGGGATGTTGTTTCCCTATATCAATATTAGAGAGTTAATATTGTCGATAATTCGACAAGATGTTTGAATTATTAGCACAATCAATTTGATACATACCAACGCTCATCGTCTTTGAGGAATGTTGATGGAAGGTAATCGATAGATGAGACCAAGAAAGTAGAAGATACTTGTTGGCCATTCACATCAACTAATCCAGTGAATTTATTCAAGTTTTCATCAATCAAAAGGTGTTTTACTGGATGATCGAGCATATAAATTCCACCATATACAGCACAGACTCTAAAAAAAAAAAAAAAAAGGTATTGATAAATCAACTTGAATAACTCAATATTTTGAACATGGCGTATGTATTACAAACATGAAAAATAGCAATATACCACACCTGCAAAACCAGTATTGGCATTGGACATATGTCCAATGATTTAAAAAAATATTGGACATATAAAATTTTATATGTCCAATCATTTTCAAAATCATTGGACATATGTCCAAT